ACAAATACCCAACCCTTCACTCCCCTCCTCTCTCTCTTCCCCTGGGATGATAACAGAGCAGAGCTCATGGTCAGCCACACACAGTGGTCATGAGGCCATCCCCCCAAATATCCCTGGAGACTTTGTGGGGAACAGCAAAAGAGGCATTCCTGCCCCTTCTGCCAGAGTGGTACCAGCAGAGACCTAGGAGGGAGCCAGGACCCCACACACACACATCCCAACCAGCAGGAGCAAGGAGGCAGCACCGTACCGGGCAGGGAGAAAAATGGAACCCACTCCTCCCCACACTGAAGAAACGTCAGCGCAGGCCAGTGCAGGCAGATTCAGATGAGATCCAGTCTCAACACAAAACCCAAAATGCCCAAGGTTCACAGAACAGTCACTGATCATGCAAAAAGTTTTTAAAAAGTCTAGTTCAGAAGGGAAAAGAAGATCATCAGGTGACAATGTTGAGATAACACAGATTTTAGAATTATCTGACCAGATTTTGAAGCATTAAAAATTCTTCAACCAAGCCATTGTGAACACGCGAAAACCACAGAACATTCCAGCAAAGATTCAGAAGACCCAGGGAACAGGGTAAAGCCAAGAAACCCGACGGCAAGAAACATCCTCACTAAACTGCCGACCCACGAAAGCTCTTGACACAGCAAGAAGCGACCCCGTCTCTGGAAGGGAAGGCACTGTAGGTCTGTCCTAAGAAATCCCAGAGGCCAGGGGAGGGACCATATGCTGGCGGAAAAGGACAGTCAGCTACGGAGCCTGTGTCCCGAGAAAGGACCCTTCAGGAATGAAGAAGAGACCCAGACACTGGGGAGTGAAGAGAAGGTCAGAGTGTTTCCTTCCACCAGAACCTACTTGAAGGTTCTGCCACCACCCAAGAGCACCACAGGCAGGGGACGGGGGCCTTTGGGGACATTCAGATTCCAAACGGTAGCACACAGGATTCGTGCAGACCACAGGACGGCTTTCCCTCTGACCTGGGGGGTGGAAGACACTTGGCTTTGGAGAGGAGGTGCCGAAGCATCCCTCCAACCTCAGCACCCAAATACACAGCCCGTCTGTGGAGGGTCAGCCACTACTGGCCTGAGCAGGTCCCAGGTGAGAACAAGGAGGCGCTCTTCACCTTCAAAGAAGCAGACTCGAGAGAGAAGGTCACCGGGTTCCACCATCAGGGGAAATAGGGGCAGGTGCCTGAGTCCAGCACAGGGAACTCTCATCAGGGGCGCGGTTTGGTTTGCCAACATCCCCAAGTGTCTATCCAGTGCCTCTAAGACACCCGTCACTTCTCACAGCAGGGCTTAGTTAAGATGCCATCTCTGGGGGGCATGACACTCCTGGGAGTGTCACTTTTCATAGGCACTGAATGTTTGTGTCCCTCCAGAAACATCCTGCGTTGAAATCCCGACCCTGGACAGGATCCTATTCAGAGGCGAGGTCTTAGGTCACGAGGGTGGGAAGCTCGTCTTGGGACCAGAGTCCTTAGAGAAGACAGAGAGCGTGTTCCTCTGTCTCTGCTCTCCTGGGGAAGGCCACCACCTGCAAACCAGGAAGAGGGCTCACCGGCCACCAGAACAGCCGAGGCTCTGCATGTCCCAGCCTCCACAACTGTGAACTTCAGTGTCGGCTAAGCCACTGGCGTCCAGTGACTTGATGTAACAGCCTGAGCTAGTACCAGGCCTTTTTCACAAGTTAAATGACCATAACTTCAGCGGAAAGCACAGAGGCTTAAAGATGTTCAAAATCTCCAAGCCACCGAGTGCACTGCGAGGAAATGAGCTCTTAAAACAATTGGAGATGAGCGTAAAAGTGTATGATTTATTCACAAGCATGTTCCCAATTCTGTCTAAAATGAAGAAAATTTGTAAGTGAATGTGAAATTATAGAGTATCCATCCATTCGATAGAAAATTATGCTCCCACTTAAAAAAACTATGTTTTTGACATAAGAAAATGCTAACAACCAAAAATAACACTTAAAAAATAATGGCATGTGTAATCTGGGATTTGAGCCAAACTTGAGGAAAATTGCAAGGTTTTCAATATCCTTCTATTTAAAGAGGTGGTATTTTTTTCTCCCTTACTCAGAATCTCTCATCTTTCTCAACAGAGTCTTATAGTGTTCTTTTTAAAAGACTTGTAATTTTATTTTGTTTGTTTCTAGTGTTGTTTGTTTTTCTATTGTGAATGAAAACATCTTTCATCGTATTTTTAAGAGGCTATTGATTTTTTTTATCAGACTTCCTTTTATAAAGATTTCAGGATTCTTTCTGTTTCTTCCATTGTTCTAGAAGTCAGCATAACAGAATGAGGAAGAAACAAAATGGGTAATAATTATAGGAAATTACAGTGATTATAGGAATAGTAATTATAGAAAACAATAATTAATGAAAATGTAGAATCTGCAATAATAGTAGTATATGAAATAACACTGGCTATGAGCGCATGTTTTTAAAAAATCTACCCCCTGAGCAGAGGGTGTAGCTCAGAGGTAGAGCCCTGGCCTAGATCCCTGCAGGTCCCTGAGTTCCCTCCCTAGCACCTAAAAAAATAAAACAAAAACAAACAAAAAAAAAGTCTATCTATCTGCAAAAAAAGCAAGCATAGAGCAACACACCCAAAGATGCTAACCACCTTCCCAAGGCTCTCAGCTCTACCAGATGCTCTTTTCACATGATATTTTGTAATGCATATTAACCTATTGAAATGAAAGTTATAAGGAGTACAACTTGCCCACACAAATCATCACTAAAGCAATATTTTCCAAAGCTGTATGTGAACATAAATAAAAAGGGAGTATTTATAATTTTTAAAATTTTTTGTGTTTCTTTTTTTCTTTTTCTTCCTGTTCCCCCCCCCACCGCCCTTGGTATCAGGGATTGAACTCAGGGATGCTTGACCACTGAACCACATGCCCAGCCCTCTTTTTATTATTATTTTATTTACAGACAGGGGCTCACTGAGTTGCTTAGGGCATTTTGCTAAATTGCTGAGGCTGGCTTTGAACTCACAATCCTCCTGCCTCAGCCTCCTCCAGAGCTGCTGGGATTACAGGTGTGCCCCACCATGCCCAGCATTAAATTGTTCCTAAGTTTATACACTACATAAATGCTGTGACACGGTTACATTGGAAAATAGCAATGTCCCATAAATTCCTAAAATAATTCTTAGGTGAAGGAACTGTCACCTTTGAATACGGCTGTATTCATTTTTTTTTGGGGGGGGGGGGTGGTTTGTTTATTTGTTATTTTAAAGAAAGTGTCCAGGGGATAAGATTATGATTTTTTTAGTCTTCTATAGAAATGTTCCTTCTTAAGTGAATGTCTCTTGCTTTTATATATGCGGAGAACTAGTGTTTGAGGGGGGTGTCACACGATGTGTTGTGTACGGGGACATTGTCTCTAAGAAGACAATCCCAAACCGGCTCAGTGGTACACACACCCACGGTCCCAGGCACTCCCCAGCAGATTGCTTGAGCCCTGGAGTTCAAGGTCAGCCTGGCAACCCAGCAAAACTCTGTCCCAAAGGAAAAAAAAAATGGTAGAAGCCCCTTACCTCCAGTGAGTATGCTTTCCCAATCCCATCTCCTGCTCCGGTGACCACTGCAAAAGGGAACAGAGGATTCATCTGTATACGTTCCTCCTTCTCCTGGGCTACCCTGTCTGGCCAGCCGGGGTCTAGGATACTCAATGCCCACAGCGGCCTGGCTCCACACTGCTCCAAATTTCCAGCCCCTTGCCAACCCCTACGAACCCTCCAGGGGAAGGGCGAGTTGCTTTGAGGGTCGGGTTTGTTTCTTTGCTGTTGTGTTGTTTAAGGACCTGGTGAGGCAAGGAGAAATGTACTGTGAAATGTGCAGAGAGCCTCAGCCAGGAAACAATGTATCCAGACCTGAGGATTGAAACATTGGACGACACGTGGTCAAGGGCAAGCAGTGCGCCCTGTAATCACTCCCATGCCCAGTGCTTCCACCCCGCCTCCATCCCCACCCCACAGGGCAGCCTGTGGAAGATAAGGGACCTAGCAAAGAGGAGAATATAGAAATGCACAGAGGGAATGCGGTGGCCTGAAGGAACTTGGAGAATTTGCACTCCGTAGAACTTTCTATTAGCATACGACCAGTAGGTCTTGTAGTCCTGTGGTCTCCAGCATGGCAGAGCTGTTGGTGATGAGGTCCAGAATCAGCCTCATTCACGGGAATGTCCCAATTTGGACATTCACTGCATTAAGTACACACACACCCGTGAATGACCTTGACACCAACATTTCAAGGCCAAGGTACTCGCTCAAGGTTATTGTACATCTTGCCTTCCCCCACCCGCTGCGGGGAATCTTCACCATCACCCGCGTAGTTAAGGTGATGACAGGTATGAGGATGGTGATCATGATCGCTTTCTGCATGTACTGTTCTGAGTGTCACAGGTGTGTGACTTCATTGCATGCTCAAAACAAACCCAGAAGGTGTCACGATCCTCTGTTCATCGTTGAGGAAGCTCCAAAAGAGGAAAGTTCTTCATTTGATCAAGGTCTCACTGCTAAAACTGAAGACCAAAGAATCTGAACTCATGCTACCTGACTTTGGGACCACAAGCCTATACAGATATACCAGGGAAATGATTAAGGAACTCAAGCTTGGAGCTCAGGGTACTCTCATCTGTAAAGTTGAAAACTTCTGTCTCTAGTGATGGGTTTTCCTGTTGTCCCCACTTGTCCTCCTTGAAGTCCACGGGTGTGTACCACTGAGCCGGTTTGGGATTGTCTTCTTAGAGATAATGTCCTATGCCTCAGCAACATTCTACTCTTGGTGGCAATAACTCTATTCCCTCTTACTCATAAAAACAGGTGAGGCTGGCCAGATGTGGTGGCACACACCTGTCATCCCAGCAGCTTGGGAGGCTGAGGCAGAAGGATGGCAGGTTCAAGGCCAGCCTCAGCAACTTAGCAAGGCCCTAAGCAACTCACTGAGGCCCTCTCCCAAATTAATTTTTTTTTAAAAGGACTGGGGATGTGGCCCAGTGGTTAAAGCTCCCCTGGTTTCAATCTCCAGTGCCAAAAATAAAAAATTAAAAGTTAGGTTTTACACCTTGAGTCCACAAGTGGTCTAATTCTCTAGTCCATTTGAACTTTTTGGGGGGGGGGCTGCATCCTACATCAGGGGGCAGGGGCTGAGCAGAGTCCTGAGTCCACCCAGCGTGTGAGCATTGAGTCTGTGTGGAGCAGGGCGTTTGGATCCAGAATATCCAGGCCTCAGCACTTGGTGAGTTCACTGGAGACAGCATGCCCTCCCAGGGAAGACGTGTGTGCACACGCACAAACACACACACACACACACCCACACCACGCAGGCAGCATGGGGTATGAATCCACTTGTCGTTGTAAACAACGTTCCATGTGGTAATGTTTTTAAATTTCCATTGCTATGTTTGTAAGGTTGCCAGGTTTAGCAAAGAAGGATACAGGATGCTCCGTTAACTTGAATTTCAGGTAAACAACAAACAATATTTTAGTATAATGCATTCTGTGCAATATTTGGATTGCAATATATTAAAAAATCAGAACTTGTTTATCTGAAMCTCCATTTTAACTGGGTATTCTGTGTTTTTCTCTGAAAGCCCCATAACGGTGTTACAGTCTTTCCTATTTAGCCTGGACGATATTTCTTTTTTAAAGGTTTTTTTGTTTTGTTTTGTTTAATACCTTTATTTTTATTTATTCATTTTTATGTGGTGCTGAGGCTCGAACCCAGGGCCTCACACATGCTCCACGAGCGCTCTACCTCTGAGCCCCAGCCCCAGCCCTGGATGATATTTCTAAAGACCTTAGCATTTCCTTCAAGGAGATGCTAAAGCCGTGACCTCATGGTCTTCACCTTAACCCGGTCAGGGGCTAAAATCCCCTGGTGTTTCCACCAGACAAATCCCACGGGGCGACAGACAGCACTGTGATCAGTGAGRACCAGGCCCAGGTGCCACATCTGACATCTTGAGAACACAGCTCTCCGCGGCCTTGATTTGGCAATACCCTCACTTCATCGGGGGCCTGGCCAGTCTCATTTTCTAATGAAGTAAATTAACATTATTTGTATTTCAGAATTTTGAGATACCCCTTAGCAAAATGGGTAGAACCTAGGGTCTAGGAATCTACAGAGATGTGGATACAGAAGTTTCTGCCTTTGTTTATTAATTGTGTCATCAGAGAGAGATCATCACACTAAGAAGAAAACCCGGGGGTGACGTTGGGGGGACAGGTGCACAGCAGGAGTTGAGGAGCACTCTACCACATCTTGCTTTTTAGACAATTCTGATTTCACTTATGCTTTCTAGACTTCCCGATTAAATTAGATTTAACTGAAATTCCCAAAGGATGGAGATATACCTATGAGAAAAGAGGCACTATATCTTTGGGGACATAAATAGGAATAAGCAGGAATAATAAAATAAATGAGAGATGGACAGTTCCCCTTACCTGCCCACTGTCCCATCGACTGCAAGAAAGACCTTGGCAGAACTTTCCGGAAGCTCAGTAAAACGCATTTGCAGAATCTCACGCACTTTGCCAGGCCGGCCAGGCACACCAGCAGCCCGAGGAGAATGAAGAACTGTTCCAGAGCCTCCCCCATGACTGTATGGCCGCAGGTGCTGTCTCCAGCCTGGCCCTGGCCCCTCCTGGGGTGGGGCCCCCTAGGGGACGGCAGACCTCCTTCTGGGAGTCACTGGGTGCATTCCATTAACTCTGGGACATTTAGATTAAAGTAACATCCTTACACAACCTCTGATTCACGGGCTTTTGAATGAATGAAGTCTTCTGTGTAATATCTTCAGATCACTGTTGGGCTTTGTTACCTTGGGGAAGCTGGTGGCCCTGCCTGTAATTCCAGTGACTCAGGAGGCTGAGGGAGGAGGGTCACACATGCAAAGCCAGCCTCGGTGACTTAGTGAGGCCCTCAGCAACTTAGGGAGACCCTGTCTCAAAATAAAAAAATTTTAAAAAGGGCTGGGGATGTGGCTCCAGGTTCAAGTGCCCCTGGTTTAAAAAATAAAAATTTAAAAAGTGGACATGAACAGACACTAGTATGGCAATATGTAAATCAGTGGATGTGTAACCGACGTGATTCTGCAATCTGTATACGGGGTAAAAAGGGGAGTTCATAACCCACTTGAATCAAAGTGTGAAATATGATCATATGTCAAGAACTATGTAATGTTTTGAACAAAAAAAAGAAAAAGAAAAAGAAAAAAATGCAAATTAATTTGTGAGAAAAAAAGCTAATTTTAATTTACTCCTTAATTTATTCTACTAAATTTGATTTTATTACATAAGCTCCTGTCAGCTAAGATATACCAACTTCAACTTCTAAAAATAAAAGTACAAATTTTTAAATAAATAAATAAATAAAAAGTGGACGTGAAGGTAAACAAGACATTGAAGAAAGGGCAGCCCAGAGTTCTGGGTTCGGGAACTGCTATGGTTTGTTCTCACAACGACTCTGTGTTGGAAGCGTTGTCCCCAGCATGGAGACGTGAGAAGCAATGGAACTTTAGGTAAGGCCTCGCGGGAGGTCCCTAGGTCCTTAGGCAGAGGGGTTTGCCCTCGGAGGGGAATACTGACCACCTAGAGAGTCCTCTCAAGAACAAGTGGTCATAAATGCCTGACCCCAACCCTTGAATCTCTCTGAGTTCCTGTTTCAAGCCGTGGCTGCTGCTCTGTTGTAACCCACCATACAGTTGTGCAGCCCAGGGGGCCCTCACCAGAGCCTACACCATGCTGGTTGGACTTTCAGTCTCCAAAACTTTGATCTAAATAAGCCTCTTTTCTTTATAAAGTTAGCCTGCCTCCAATATTTTGTTATAGTAATGAAAAACTGGGTAATACAGAAACCAAAAAGGATGCCAGATCAAGTCACTCATTGGTTTATTCAACAAGTAGGTGCCGACTGCCTACAGATGGTGGCCCCTGTTCAAGGCCCTGGGGACATAACAGTAATGAAGCAGGGTCTCTGTCTTGGAGCTCCGATTGCAGTCTGGGAGACAGAGGAGGGGAGCAGCCAGGCCCTCGTGGTGAGGAGTTTGAAATTTAGGCTGAGGGCAGGAAGCCGCTGCAGGGGCCAATGGGATTATTCCTCCCAAAGTCAAGGCCTGCTGCGGGGAGATGGCCGGCCAGAGGCTGATGGAGATGGTGGGTGGTCAAGACATCTGGCCCTCGACTTTCTGCATCTGACTTATTTCACTTAGCACGATGGTCTCTATTTCCACCCATTTACCAGTGAATGCCATGATTTAATTCTTCTTTGTGACGGTCTTCATCTGTTTCAGGTTGCTAGAGCAAAATGCCTGAGGCTGGATAATTTGTAAAGAAAACAGGTTTATTTAGTTCGCGATTCTGGAGGTTCAAGGACATGACACCAGCAGGTCCCGTGAGTCAGCCCTTGACCCTCTGCTCTTTTATTCGCTCACTCCTTTGGTGATGTCCTCTGATCTCTTGACCTTATGGACTTGCCACATGCTGAGGAAATTCAAATTCATCACTTCAGCTAGTCACCCTGGCTGACATCCAAACTAGCATACCGACTTGATACCTCCGTTTGAACACCTGTTAGCTGTTACTGAATCTGTCACTATTTATAAGTCTTTCTGGGACAAAACTAGGAGAACCTTTTTTTTTTTAAGTGAATATACTTCATGAGTCAATAGAATTTAGGATTATATGAGTTTTACTTATATACTTGATTCTGTATTCAGATCGGCTTTCTCTGACACCGATCATCTTGACTCCTAACATCACGTTTGTTTTTATGTCTGGGGTATATATGCTGATGTTTCTTTTATTTTTTTAAGAAATGGTATCTTTTTGATTCTTTGTGATTTAATTTTCTTTTATAAATGTGAGGAACATCTACATAGTTTCAAAGTCAAATTTACAAAGGAAGATGCATTGAGAAAAGTCTTGAGTTGATCTTAATGCCCTCTGTTCCCATTGCTTCCTCTCTCTGAAGGTAACCTCAAACTTTTATTCAGTTTTTATTATTCATCCATTTGTGAACACACACATTCATATTTCTAAGAACACACATTCATATGCATACACATCTCTATGAATACAGACGAGTCATTATGTGTAATACACACACACACACACACACAAGTACATACAAATTTTTACTACTTGTCTGTATTTTTTAAAGATATTTCATTAGTTGTTGATGGACCTTTATTTGTTTATATGTGGTGCTGAGGATGGAACTCAGTGCCTCCCACGTGCTAGGCAAGCGCTCTGCCCCTGAGCCACACAACCCCAGCCCCTGTATTTTTTTTTTTTTAATGAACTCCAGCACCACATTCTTTTCTGCACCTTGATGCTTTTTACCTAACAACAGATTCTGTAATTGCCTCCCAGTAGATATAGATTTCTTCTTTCCTTTTGGTTATTTTTACAGCCTCGTAGGACTCTAATGAAGATGCACCATACTCATGGACACCCCTACGCATACTCTTTGATGGTCCCCAGTCTTTTGCTAATACAAATAGTGCTATGATCAGTGGCTTTGTGCAGTCCCCCTGGGAGGAAAACTGCTGGGCCAGAAGGTAACTTCTTATGTCCTTAAGCTAAATATTCAAATATGTCCAATTTTCCTTCCTGTTGAACTTTTTGTTGCACATGAATATTCACAGCAACTTTACTTATAAAGGCCCCGAATAAAGAATGAGCCAAATATTTATGAACAGGTGGATGAGTAAACCAAATAGAATGTGACTTATAGTTTAGTTAGCAAACTAGGAACACTACTCAGCCAAAACATCAACTACCAGTGCACACAACTGCACAAATACCCAGAACCTTATGCTAAGTGGATAAAGCCAGACAATAAAGAATGCTCCCTTTATGCTCCTATTTAAGTAAAATTCTAGAACACGCAAAACAGGTCGGGTGATGGGAAACAAAATAATGGAGGCCCGAGAAAGTGGCCAAAGGAACTTCTTGGGGTGACGGAGACTTTCTATAAGTTGGTTATGTTGATGGTCACACATGGGTGAATTCATTTGCCAATATGCGCTGGACTTAAAATTAGTGCTTTTAGGACACAATTATGCTTCCATTTAATTTATATCAATTTATACTGATTATCTTAATCATGCTTCAAAATAAACAGTGGCAGAGGTAATCGTTGTTGCAGAAGTTTAGAAATATTTAGAGGTGAGAGAGTTCATGAAGGGCTGCAGGTTTCACGGGTAGAAATGCCGCTTCTCTCTGAGGACCGTGAAGAGCAGCTGTCCTGGCCTGGGACCCCTCTCTGTGCTGCTTCCTCTCAGCTGACTTGCACTCAGATTGTAAATGTCTGAAAGATGTTTCTCTGTTGGGCTAAAGGTCAGACAGGATCCAGRAACCAAATAAGAAGAGAACTCGTTGTGTCTGGTCAGAAAGCAACTTAAAGAAGCAACTTAAAAAAACAAACTTTCTCCTGAGCTGCAATCAGGCTGAATTTTGAATTCTTCCAAACAATAGAGGAGGGTAATCTATGGCAATAGAGTATGGTGTGAAGCTTTGGGGGTTTTCTACAAGGTGAGAAACAGCATACGATGTTATTTTGATTTTAAATTCTTCCTCCCCATCCGGCCCCTGTGATACTGGAGATTGAACCCAGGGGTGCTCTAACACCCCATTCTTTTTATTATCATTGTTTTTAAGAGAGTTTCTCAGGCCAGCTTCAGGCTTCAGGTCCTCGGGCCTCCACCCCTGAGTAGCTGGGGCTACAGGTGTGTGCCACCTCATTCGGCTTAAATTATTTTATTAGTGGAGTTGAAGATATTCCCGTAGGTCTAAGGGCTGTTTGTATTTTTTCTCTGTGCTATTTTCTTTTTCCTTTCCCCTGGCCATTTTTCTGGGTGGTTTTTGCTATTTCCTTCTGTGCACAGTTTAAGTATTGATGATCCAAAAATGCTTGGGACCCATTTTTCTTTTTCTTTCAKATTTTGGAAAATTTGCATGTACAGAACCATATATCTTGGGGAGGGGACCCAAGTGTAAACATGAAGTCCACCTATATTTCAGATATTCTATGCAAAGCCTGAAATAACTACCCAGAACTCCTTAGCACACTGCGGTTAGACTGCCACCAGTCACACAGAGTCAGGGGTGGAACTTACCACTTGTGGTTTCCTATCCACCCTCAGAAATTTGAGAATTTGGAAGCATTTCTGGTTTGGGAGTTTTGCATTAGAGGTGCTCAACCTGTATTTCTCGTTTGTTGTTGTTGTTGTTGTTGTTGTTGACCTTGGCTTGAGGCCTCCTCATTTCACTATCAGGTCCGTGTTCACTAATTCTCTCTTCAGTTGTGCCTGGTCACTGCTCCATCCAGAAATGGTCTTAATTTTATGGCTGAAGGTTCTTTTCCTGCCTTTTCAAAACTGGCTCTTTTTTTAGAGTTTTAGAGGATGGTGTTTCTTCCAGGGAGATCCATTACTTTTGACTTTCCTTTATTTAGCACAGTTGAATCCTAATCTGTGTCATATGATCCAGTACCTGGGGTCTTTCTGCCGTGGTCTCCTGGCTCTTCTGGCTCTCACCCAGGGTGCCCTCTTCCCTGGTGCCCAGATGAACCACCAGTTTGGACCCAATTCAAAC